AGAGCAGCTCAGTTGATACATTGGTGAATGTCATTATGCTTTATTTCTACTGATGCTAAAAAAATGTTGTTCTGGTATAAAATATGTGCCATGAACACCAGGCATTGGAAACTACAACTCATTTCAAAATACATTTAACAGTCATCAGTAGATAATAAACTGTAAAAGCCCAAATCCAAACAGACATATTTAGATGTTCATCTTCTATCCACATTCCTAATTTCCACTGAAATAATGGACTGGGAATTTAGGTACTGTAATGTAGAGACTGATCAAAGAACTTTTTGTTGTAGTACTGTGACTTTTACCTCCTCCACTGATGTTTTAGAGAGGTCTTATTTTATTTTCATGATATGAGTGTCCTGAAATATTGACTCCTTCCTACTCTGATGTGCATCTCTATAGTGGGACTTCAAGTTTTGAGCAATTATGGCTAAACTAGGAACTTAGTGTCTGAATATCCAGTATATTTAGATTTGCTTAGGTCGAGGGGGTTAGTTTGCCTGAGTGTAGAGAGATGTTAGAAGATCAGTCATGAAATTCTCATCTGGCTCTGAAGTTCCCTGCAGTTTGGAGGGTGTTTGTATCTGGGATTGTGTTTTGTTTGGGCAGTGATCCTGCTGATTGGAATCGCATAAGCTTGGCAACAGAATGGAGGCATCCAGCCAGAGCAAACTCAAAGTACATAGGGTCTGAGAACAAAACGTTTCACATGAATTAAATTGTGAGGAAACAGAAATTCTTTAAACTTGTAAGAAAACAAGGCAATGTGAGCATCGTCACACACAGGCAGCTGTGTGATGAGGGCTATCAATAGGGAGTGCAAGTTTTATTTATGAAATCTTGATAGTTATGTGTTTTTAAGAGATATGTCTTATCACCGCAGGAAGAAGAATATTCCCCAGGAAACCAGTGTTAGAGTGAGCTGGAATAACTCTCAGTGCTTGCATGCAAAGATCCAGCAGCATCTTTCATAGAGTCATAGAATGGTTTGGTTGGAAAGGACCTTAAAGACCAGCTCGTTCCAACCCCCCTGCCATGGGCGGGGACACCTTCCACGAGACCAGGTTGCTCAAAGCCCCATCCAACCTGGCCTTGAACACTTCCAGGGATGGGGCAGCCACCGCTTCTCTGGGCAACCTGGTCCACTGTCTCACCACCCTCACTGTGAAGAATTTCTTCCTAATATCTAATCTAAATCTTCCCTCTTCCAGTTTAAAGCCATTACCCCACGTCCTATTGCTACATGCCCTTGTAAAAAGTCCCTCCCCAGCTTTCTTGTAGGCCCCTT